CACGCTTACCACGCGAGCGGTCCGGGGATCAAATCCTGGGTCGTGAGTCGCCCGGGCCAACCAAGCCTTCCATCCCTCCGGGGTCGGTTAATTGGTACCAGACTTGTCTGGGAGGATAAAAACACTGACTTGTACATCGGCTGGCCCCGCAAGTCATTGTATAGGCCACATCGCATTCAAACGCCACTACGAATGTACAAATGGAAGTAGAATGCGTGCCGCATCCCAAAAAGGGATTGATCAACGGCAAATGCTTTATCCTTTTTTTAATGCTTTGAACCTCTTCCACCGAGCATACTTTTTAGGTAATCATTGCCCGCTACACTTATTCCAACTCTGGCATAATAGCTCCATAAAATCGATAATAATCTGATAATCTGCAATATATCTAGTACCTTAATGGTCGCAATATTTATTCAATAACAGACATTATTTCCAAACAGAATCACCGTGTACGTATTACTGCATTGAAGGAAAGGGCAATCTGTACAAGCACACAACCTCTTTCACTTCGAACAACACAATAACGAATCTTCGTGGTGTCAGCTTTTGAATCTTCCTCTGAGTCCTGGCGGACGACAACCGAATGGTTTGATGACTGTAGATAGATTCAATGCAGTACACTCACTATCATCCTCTTTGGTAGTCGAATCGGGTGCTGGTTGTTCCTGAACATATTTCATTAGTTCACCGGGGGTTACGGCTTCACTGACTTTCTTATCAAACAATGAAGGGATGATTATGGACGGGTGCATGGACTGAGAACGGCTACAATAGTCTTTCAGCTGACATCTGGCTTAGATATTCTATGAACGCTCACTGAAAGCCAGTAATACCTAGTGAAGCTTGTGAACTATTACATTGTCTTAACTGCATTCAGTACTCAAATTTGAAGGCATGCATCGAGTTTTCTTGCAGCATGCTTCTTTCTTACGACTCTCAGTGGGAGGTTTTATAAGCTTTGACCAGGAGTTACATTAATTTCTGATCGCTTACTATGACTATGATGACTTGAGTAAAAGGCGGTTCGCATTCAGGGCGATCTATACCAAAACTGTATGCATAGAACAAGTAAAAAAGGAAGCCTAGTAAGTGTTCATATTCCACTTGCTCGTCGTACTTCGCAGCACGAGTGTGTGGTTCCAGCTTAATGCAGACCAGGGATCCTATTCCCGGAAAGTGTGGACACTGGATGGGTAGATTTTTTCACTATCGCCATGCGTGATTCAGATTAACATAGGTAGCTGTGATAATTCAGAGCTACTTGTTGGATTGAATACTAAATTTATACGAGCGCTGGTGGCTAATGTACTGGCGGCGTTCAGTACTCTTTCCTTATGAATCTGGAACAATAGAATCTGGAAATACGAGATTCATGGGTATCCTACCAAATATCTGACTGACCCACTAGATCTTCGACACCAACCAATCATCACCCCTACCCAAGTATTGTCATGATAATGTCATGTGGTGGCATTCTTTAACCGTAAGTTGTTTCTATTTTGTCGTAGTCTAGGCGGTGAAACGAGATCGCAATATTTATCGAGAAAGACTGAACTGCAACTCCATACCGTTTCCCACAACTAAGAAACTCAAGCTGGCCAAGGCCTCGATGAAACGACGCACCTCGTTGGCAGCTGGAATGCCACAACACATCTTCTGAAACGAAAGCTACCACGACCAGTTTCTAGGCACGCTCTACTTCGAAGAATTTCCGGCAAAGGCATGATTAATATAAATCGATTTGAAAACCCAAGAAGGAGGATCATGAGCTGGAACAGAATCTCGAGTGTAGTCGTCACAGACTGTCCCTTCTCAAATTCGTAGCGCTGAACTACAATCGAAGACAAAAAAATTAAATCTGAACATCTAACAAGGAGATGGAAGAGCAAGAGTCAGGTGATCAGCTGCGCCTACAGCGGCCATCGCATCAGTTCAGCTACTGAGCGAGAATAGTCTGTTGTGCGCGAGAATGGCAGTCTTCTCACGAATCTCTGGTTGACATTTCATCATCATGAAGAGGTGGTTTAACAGGATCACCAACAAAAGGAGAAAAAGGCATGGTGAAATGTGACGTCGCTTATCAAGTTGACGGTCCCAAGACCAAAAACTGCATCATAGCCGTCCGGAAAAACTACGTCATCCGCCCCTAACAAAACTGCAAACAAAGAACTGTTAGAGAATTATATGGGTGGATAAAATCACTGAGTTTTACACTAGATGGCGTCTACAAGTTACTAGTTGTATAGGTTAAATCACATTAAAAATGTCACTATGATTCTGAATGGAAACAGAGTGCGCGGCACATCCCAAAAAAGGACTGATCAATGGAGAATGCCTTATTTTGTGTGAGAAACACTTGCGAAGGCTCGCTTAGAAGATCGAGAAGGCTTCCGCTGGATTCAGCACCCTCTACCACATCACAAATAGTTGAGACACCGTCGAAGAATCTCCTGAAACGCCATATCTTTCTCGCAGAAGTCTTCGCTGACTAAAAGAGGCGCTGTTCAACGCTCGTCGGTTCCACCGACGAAGGTTTCAAGTCGCTAGTAGATTGAAGGGCTGAGACGACGTTAGTAGATGAGTTGCAGAAACGCTAACCAGGTTGCTAAACAATATTTCACGTTTTCTACTATGAGGTGGTGACAGCAGTTAAGATGCGTTGACAGCTGCTGTGCCAGCTCTGTAGAGGCCAGGAGCATGTTAGTAGATACGGGAACCGGTTGTACATTGTATAGTAAGTCCGTGTACAGCTGGAAGCTGACCATGAGGAACAATGGCGTAATTATGAATAGTATGCATCTCATACATCTCCCACAACATCGTCTTGATCAAATCGTCTTCGAAGCATGCCTCTAAAATGATATGTTGCATCGATTAGACGATTAGGAAGTCCTGTCATTGTTATCAATAACTGTACAACTAATTGTAAGAAGTGAGGAGCTCATCCTCAGGTCAGCCTTGATGCTTCTAAAAGGAAATCACATCAACGATGTTAACGACCACGTGTACCGCTTAAACTAGCTGAATATAAAGAGCCACTTTACTGGGCCTAAAACGGCGGAAAAATCCTGCCGAGTTTCAACTTAGGCCTGAAATGAGCACCCTTAAATCGAACTGGTGGGGTAACAGCGGTCTACAATGAAATTGTGGATGTCGAGATGACTGAAGATCAAAGCAAACCCCCATGAGGCCCTGAAGAAAAGACTCCCTCTCTCGCCCTTCAAGTGATGGAGGGACACTCCGAATGTAGCCTGAACTTGCTTGCTCCGGGGCTCCGCCAATCCGGGCGTATTTAAAGCTGCTGTGCCGTAATCCACAGTGCGGTTGGAATGGGATCTATACGCGAAAGATATCTCGTCATTGGCTTAGATTAGCCGTCATTGGCTTAACTTGTAGGACACTAGCGCCTACGCTACCCATGGAATAGGTTGTTTGACGCGATCTCATTTGAAGTTGTTGCTTTTAACAAAATCTCCAAAGCAACAATTCACTTGCATTCATCCGACACATCGATTGTTTCCGTATCATGAATATACGATCAAGCCGGCAGGCAGCGAGGCTTGCAGCTTCACGATTTCGAAGGAACGCTGTGTCAAAGGTCGCTAATGTTCTATTATAGTTTACGCCGATGAAGCGAAAAAACGATTTGCCGAGCATTTTGTTAAATAGGGTGGGGGCGCGACTATAGTTTCGCCATTCGCCATGGTTGTAGCTAAGAAGTTCGGACGTCTTTACTTTGGCAACAGTTAAGATCATTGACAGTAGTAGGTCGAGCAAAGCTCGTAATAGTCTAAGTGAGGGCATTGGACTCACCCAGATGTTGCTAAAGAGTCGAGAAACAATAGAGCAAGGGAGGTCCGTTTTGAACAAGAGCGTTGGAGAACGCTTCTTTTTTTGATTTTGAAAGCATATGCTTTTTAACGGCTAGGCTGAAGGCTTTTGCACTGTTTATCATATCTAACTACAAGAATATGGTAGTATGTCCATTTCTTGCATATAGAAGCATATAATCTTTCTTTTCTCCCTTAAGCAGAAGCATATAATGATAACATGCGATTTCTCGCATCAGCAAAAGGAGCGTGGCATGACAGAGGTGAAAAAATGATTTCGAGTGAACAAACTTACCACAGGACTTGGAGCTGAGCACGGCTGACTAGCAGGAGCTTTGATTTCAGGCTTTCGGAATGGATTAGCACAGCTTGCACTCCTCAAATAAAAATGGTAGGCATCTCAAAATACGTCAAGTTAAAAAAAAACTAGAACATTTCTTGAAAGGCCCTTTGTAGTGGGGAACCATTACTCAGTATATTTCGTCAGGATACATGAGTTCTAGTTATTCTCTTGACATTCGAAAACATAGTAAAAAATAGTCATGGACTAAAAATGCAACACATTAATGACTATGGGTTTAGAAGAAATTGATTCATGAGTACGCAAATGTGCTTCATACGAACTTGAGCTGTGGTAACCTTGAAATCATGGCGGTTTAGTCACTCTAGTTCTGTTGAATTCCGTAATATTATATTATAGTTCCTGATGCAGGCGAAACTATAGATGGCCGCAGTTCGAATGCAGTTCACCAATTTTACCGGGACAAAATATAACCAAGGTAGACCTCTAGGCAGCACTAACCGCTCTTAGTCCAAGAAACTCGAAAGCAGGATATAATCTACAGCGCAACATTTCTCGCTTAGTGCTTAGCGCTCCACACTGTAACCCCTTTCATACTAGTAGTCACGTTTTGCAATAATTGCCACCATATATCCTTTGTTTGCCATCTTTGGGCAAGCTGCCACATCGTAAATAGCCAAACACTGCCCTTCGCCGACAGGACGATTTTGGACCGTTATGTTTACAAACTCCAAAATACTTTATAAACATTACCTGCGCACGAAGTAGGCACTGCTTCCTGCAGGGATAACCAATGATGACACAGCTTTGCTCGCCTTAGCCTCTGAAAAAGAAGATGACCCGATAACATGCCCTCATAACTTGATAACCATAGTAGTGGAAACTTCATCACACGTCCGCTGTCAGACTTTGCGGAATCGCTCAATTCGCAAAGTTTGACACCGGCTCATAGAAGAAATACGCAGGCATTCGTGAGACGAGCTCAAGAGGATCACAAGGAGGCAACAATTATTCAGCCAAATTTCGCGAATCACGGAGTAAGTGAAATGCGCGGAAATTCTTCAAAAGGTACGAGGCAACAGAATCGATCCGTGTCTAATCTTGAACACTTCCCACAACTCCGTGCAGGTATGAAAACTGGGGGAGGAAATGGGAAACCTTCTCTGAGTGTAAAAACTTAGTAGAGGTATTCGTGTATTTCGAAT